GATCACCGTGGTGTCACCGCCGTGTCACCGTCCGATCACCACCTTATCATATCCCGACCACCGCCCGAGCAGCGTCCGATCACACCGTATCGCGGTTTTACACTGACCCGATACACCTAATGACCATCGCCCTATCCGTCGCCCGACCACCGCCCGACCACCGCCCAATAGCTGCCCGGTCGAAGCCCTATCACCACCCCCACCGCCACTGAGCTGGCCCTCAAACCCCACCACCGACCTCCCACCGTCCGGCCACCGCCCGGCCACCGTCCGACCACCACAGCAAATGTAAATGAGTGTTTTCGAGGCTTTCTGGTGGGTTTAGAGCGCGTGGCCGAGCCCGGGGCGCGGTCAGGTGCCGGCCTGCCACCCCTATCCGCCACCCAGACAGACAGCCAGCCAGTCAGCCAGACGGGACTGTACGCCAGTCTAGACGGCCGGACAGGGTCCCTTGTAATACAGCAAGGCCACAGGACAAGGTAATGATACATGTTAGCTGGTAGGAGACATCTAGTGATGCAATTTCTATACAATGGGGATCTTTAACAAATTACAGTGAGTCTATTGATCAGTGTCAATGACGTATGCACAAAGAGGTATTGCCGACGCACCGGTTGACCCAAGACATGCCGGTGCCCCGCGGTGTGTCTTTCCACAATTGATGGCGTCCGATACACGTCCGCGGCCACAGGGCAGCGCCCCGGTGCCGACGACCGACCGTCTGGCGGGCGTCGGGCTCGACTTTACGAGCCGTCGCAGCCGACGCGGCCGGCGGTGCTCGGTCGATTTTACGGCTTCCGACGGCGCGGCGGAGGCGTCGCGAAACCCCAGAACAAACGGCGGCGGCCGGTGCCGTGTCGCCGGCGACGACCGCCCACAAACGGTCCGCGAGCGGCGGCGTGACGCCCTCAGAGACAGGGGACCTAGTGAGGAAAGTGTGGATTTGAATTTGTATCAAGTATGAGCTCTGCTTTCTATAAGTTGGCGTTTTTGTTATTCGTGGAAGTAATAGCAACTGCATTACGCATAATGCTTCAGTCGCTCGAAGTGGTATTAATTCTATGTCAAGTGGGGAAAACAATGAAGGAGAACAATCAAATTGATACTGGTTTACTAATGCATAAGCACACTTCTTTTCCTATTCTTACAGACACAGACGAGTGACCTAAATGTTTTAATGGCTCCACTTTATGAGCAAGTGACGTCAGTCGTTACAAAGTACATCATTTGTTAGGATTCAGCTCCTCCATTGTCCTACATCAGATTCTGATATCAACAACATGCTTCACAACAAATAAGCCATTTAGGCCCATTGTGGAGTCGACCCCAGACAGATATGTTCACATAATGCACATAACGAAAACATGTTGACTACCACAGACGTACAAATTAGACTGAAACAAGGCAACTCCACCACAAAGTATTCAACGTGACACAAAGCGAGCACAAAGTAATTGAAGCTGCAGGCCGTGTAAATAATTTTCCAGCGCACCGCAGACGCGGCGGGCACGTGCTAATTAAATGTGAGTCAATCGGCCGGTGCGCGGCGCGGGCGCCGGTGCATGTTTGTCTGCTGGCGTGTCGCCGCGCCGGGTCCCGGCCGGGCCGGCCGCAGGTCCGGCTGGCCGGCCGACCGCTCGTGACTGGCACCTCATGTTCGCTGCAAAACAATTGGAGCGCTATGGGGCTACGGCCGCGAGCCGCACGCCAGCGAAACTGTGCCCGAAATAAAGAAGGAGCGAATCGCTGAACACGGCTGGTGGTCACCTGTTATTGTTGGAGCAGGACAGTCACTGTCTGAAACAATACCTGCGGCTGCATTTGTGACACATTGTCACTGTCGTTGCCTGAGAATGTAGCTGCCACTGCGACTGCTACTGTGACTGTCTGAGACAGTCAGTGATTGCCATTATACTGCGTCTGCGGATTATACGAGTCTGACTAGGACCGCAGCTTGTTCCCTGTGGCTGTCGATGACGTGGCGATCAGCAGGAAATTCGACAACGTTCAGCTCTATGAGACCGGTTTCTCTGTACATATATCGACTGAGCTGGTCGCTAAGTGATGGATTATTCTCAATTACCGGTGCCCGTAGTGTGTCGTGTAGCACTGCGCCGCGGCAGACAGGGTGACATCATTGTCACGGCCGGGCCCGGCACGGAACGACTGTCCGGCCCAGCTGCGGCCGGTACAGACAACATTTCCCGCCGCGCCCGCCGCGCCAAGAGACATTTTCCCAGGCCGAGAGTGACATTCGGCTACCTGAATTATACCAACCGGCTACCGAGCTACGAGGAAAGGTTACGGGCCGTGCTGTGTTTATTGCATCCGCCGCCTCGTTGCGTCTAATGCTTTAGGTCATGTTTTTGCCATTTAATGCCATTAGCACACAGCGAGTGTAAGCATGACAGGACCGATAAAGTCAACACTAAAACATGAAACGGCTCCATACGAAATTAATAAATCACAATGAAAATGAAACCTCCAAAGGTGGATGTGCACTGCAGCAATACACCAGCTAAGCTAGCCGAAGACAGGGCTGCAGAATTAGCCCATAAAACGCCCTACGACAACGTGCATTAGGCATAATATAATATTCGTTCCACGTCCGCGAAAACCATCAGAGGACCCTCCGGGGCCCAGCACTTGGCAGGGTCGACTCGGCTCCACAAAATCGCCAGCAAACAAGTTCACTTGACAGCGCTGTTAAACCAGTCCGAACAAAACCCAAACGACTTCTAGGCTCGTAAAATTATGCGCCCATGGTGGGCTAGCCACTGGCTCATTTCCAGGGGTACATAAATACGGTCCTCGGGACGGCCGTCGCCACCCGGTGACAACCAGAGTCGATTCCGCGGGGACAGGGCGAGCTCTGGACAGCTTCCCGGGAGGAGACAGTCGGGGACAAAAAGGGACAGCCGTGTAAAAAGGGACAGTAGCGCGGCAGTAGTGAGGCGGCGGCGCCAACACGGCAGTAAGGCCTTGGCACTTTGTCCCAGCAGCCACTGTACTCGTATGGGAGACTTAGTGACCATAAGGGAACTGTCCCAGTGGGCTAAGGAGACATCAGACTGCTTCAGTGACCAAGGGTGTCTGTCCCAGCTGCGATATGATAGCTGTCCCAACGGCCACAGGAAGACTGTCCCACTGTCCCAGCGCAGCGGTCGGGGAGTGAGAGGGTCGGGCCGATCGGGGCCGGCCGGGCCGGGCGGCGACTACCTGGCGCCTGTCTGCGGGTCCGGCGGCCCCTGTGAGGGGCGGACTGGCCCCTGTGAGGGTCGGGGGGCCCCCGCCGAAGTCCCGACACCCGGCGCCGGGTCAGCCCACAGCGGCGTCACTGAGACCGGCGATAAGATCGCCCCGTAATTGGCGGACGGCGGTGACCGTCGGCAATCGCGGCTCGTGGGCCGCCGCCGCCGCCGCCGGCCGACACGGGTCACGGCGGCCGAGCGGGGATCCCGGCCCGGCGCCTCACGGGACTCACGGACACGGGACTCACGGCCGACCCATTCACGGAGCGAGACAGGGCGCTGGATCGGTACACGACACGATAGCGACGCCTCCACAGCGCTCCGGTGTTCCTTTATGTCTCGGCTATTGCGCGATGGCTATCATTGCGGTTGACATGGCTTGCATGCAGATTCAATATTGATAGAGTGATGCATGCCGTAATAGCCGGTCAATTTGGTCCAAACAAGATATCGGCTATCTTTCCAATATCAGGCACAGGAGTCCCACCGGGCCGTGTCGTTTCCTTAAAAGTACAATGGTGTGATCTTAAAAGTGTTCTGCTTGATGTGTGATTTTGACAGCGTGCCAAAGGCCAAAGCCATAAAACAAATTATGTGCACACTGCGCACAAGTATAAAATGTACTAAACCTAAAAGAAGTTGCAAGAAAGCGGATGATAAACTGACTGATGTTGCAGTTCATGTTGTTATGTTCCTTGACCGTGTCCACATTTCCTGAGCGGACCATCACGCAGACGGCTGGCACAATATTTGAAATTACTGACCGTTCCAAATTTCATCGATTTTAAATGCAGGGAAGAAACAAGGAGGCTTGGAAATATTATGATCCTTGGAAAACAATAATAATAGACGTAACTCTTTGTGAAAAGTTGTATACAATTATTTATATCTAACCTCTGAGCATTCCAAGTTTACCAGCAACAAAATAAAATTGTTAAATTATTATTTTACCTCAGTAATAAGTTACATTTATAAAAATGCGAAAAAGTGTAAGATCCCACCGCTGTGGATAAACGTTTCTAATTTTTTTTTGCATTGAAGTTTTGCAACATCATTTCCCTGACCAAGAGTTCTGAAACATTTCAGCGTACCTCCTTAGTAGGCATTACCTGTCTGCCACTTATAGGTTGAAGCTTTCCTGGTTTATCGGTTCACATCGTGAGCCATGCGTTTTTAAGTTTTGATGCCTATCAGAATCATTAACGGGCCCACCAAGTTAGCAACTTTGGACGCTGCAGCTAATGCTACGAGCAAAAGTTAATAAAAATTCGTAAATTATTCAGAGTTTGCCTCCTCGTGTGTTGTCTGTGGCCCGCGCAATCAGATATATTTTGCCATAAAAACGGCATTTTTCTTTACCAGAAAAAAAAACAAATTTTCACGCAATTTGAACGCTAGGTGTTTATTACTGAAGGGTTGAAGTTCCTTTTCAAATAGATTAAAAATTAATTCAGATATATTGTGGTAGCCCTCACTAAGCAAAGTTGAATGGGATCTTGTCTAATAATAATATTATGTATCTAAGATTATAAGTTACCTAGAAAAATAGTATATACCCTTAATACAATTTTGCGCTCTCACTTTTTCACTTCACTCAATGAGATATTTCTTTTTTATTTTTGTTTAAGATTTTTTTTACATAAACCTAGGCTAGAACGGCATCAATTTACAAGTGTGAGCTACCTTAAAAATCCTAGTTGTCCTTCCACTCTGGTATCGCTGCGCGCTGACACCCCGGTAGGCACTCACCTGCCGCTTTTAGTGATGACCATCTCGGTGCCGAGCTTGTGGAACTGCGCCCACAGCTCCTTGGACTCCAGCGTCACCTTGGGGTCGTCCACCACACCGTCGTCCTCGGGCTGGAGGCAGCGCGGCGGCCGCAGACTGCCCTGGTGACCCAGCACGTCGTCCGCGCCGAACGGGTGACCGCCCAGACCGGGCGGCATCTTGGGCAGCAGCGACTGCGGGTACGGCACGTGCGGCGGCAGCGCCGGGAAGTACTGGCCCGGTGTCAGGAACGAGCCGGCTGAAAAGTCCGGGTGGCGCATGAACGGCGGGTAGGCCATCTCGGGAACGCGGATGTCCGACTGTTCGAATCTCATGGAAGCCTCGGCCGCCCGCAAGCGGGAACCATCAGCTAGAGCAGTGAGCCGCTGGTGAGCGCCGGGCGCCGCGCGCTGGTCGGCCAGGGTCGTGGTGCGGCGGCAGAGTCCAGTAGAGTCCTCCGGCGGCAGAGTCCCAGTCCGGGGCGCGGTCACAGCACTGAGCGGCGCCGACAGCGGAGCGCGCGGACACGTCCCTCCTCAGAGGCAGCACTCCAGTCACTAGCGAGTGTCAAAAGCCGTGCGCCGGCCTCGCCGCAGCGCTAATCAGCTGACACTCGCCGCGATTGGTCGAGGTAACACCCGTCGACCAATGGGAGCGCGCCGAGGCGTGGGCCGCGCCGCGCTGGAGGTGTCCGACTGGCGGCCGGCCGCTGCGCCATGCGGCTGCCGCGCGCTGCCCGCCGACTGCCGGCAGGGAGCGCGCCGCGCCGCGCCGCGCCGCGCTGCCGTCGCCGCCCGGGACGTGACACGGCCGTGTCAGTGTCACCGCCTCGGGAGCCGGCAGGTGGCGGCCGGCCGCCGACCCACCCCGCCCCACTCCCCCCTCCCGCCCCAGGCACTGCCACCGCCGCCGCAGGCTACCCGGACACCGCCCGCGGGCGCGCTCGAAATACCGGTCACCGCCCGGGGCGCTGAAATTCGCGACCTGGCCGAAATCCGAGTGTGTGACGGTGGTGGGTGCATTGTTGGCTGGGTGTTGACCTGGCGGTGACCGTGGTGGCGCCGGGCGCGGGGAGGGGCGGCGCCGGCGCCGCTCAGTGGCGCGTCGGCGCCGGGGGGCGGGGCCTAGCGCGGCCATTCTCGCGCTGGCAGCGCCACCTCTCGGTGGGAGCCGCGCCGCCGCCGACACGCATTGATTGCCGCGCGCCGGGCCGCTCGGGCGCCGCGCCGATTCTGCCGCCGACTACGGAAGCGGTGGATTTGTCGCGTCGCGGCCGATGCGGCGCGGATAAGGCGGCTACGCTCGGAGCGGCGGCTGCCTGGGCTGCCCGGCGGGCTCCTGAGCTGTCCGGGTCGGCAGCTCAGCCGGTGATTTAGGTCCGCCGCCGCCGCTGAGCCTCTTCCCGTGCCCACGCACCACCGCCGCCGCACCCGGCTTTGGTGTCGTCTCTGTCGGCGTCGGCGGCGTCTCCTCTCCATTAGCGGCGCTCTGTCCGCCGGACGGTGCTATTGATCAGGAGCTCCGCCGCCGCCGGTGGCTTTGTCTCCGCGGCGGCCGAGTGCGCCGTCACGGCCGTCCGAGATATGCGCGTGTGCCGCCGACGCAGTCGCCGCGACACTGCGGCGCAGCAGGGCGCCACCTTGCAGGCGGCAGCGCCGGCCGGCCGTCCATCACGTGCCGCTCAGCCGTCCACTCCCGTCACTCGTTAATTCGCTCTGAACTGACCGGCTATCCAGGCCATGTTGATAATTGTAATTTACAGAAATGGATGACGTCCATATAAGCGGATGGTCGGTGGTGTCTGGAGCTGGGGGCCTTTTCTGGGCGGCGGGTGGGCGAGGGTCCGGACCGGAGAGCCGAGGCCGCCGTCGGTCACACGGTCGTCTATTCAGAACATCGTTCAAGCGAACGGCAAACGAACGATCTCCCCAGTGGCCGAAGCTGCTGGTGACGGAAAGACCAGTAATTTCACAGGGAAGTAATTCAACGTCGTGGGTAGATACTCAGCTCAGCCCGTCGTAAAAAAAACTGTTGGTGCCAAACATGTGCATGGATCCGAGTGATGGTTCTATGATCTCAGTGGATCTCGAGGGACATTGCAGGTTCGGATCTATGATCCCACCGAATCCGGTATGAAAAATTTATCCTGGATCTATGATCTGACAGGATCTGACGATAAAACAAGAACATGGATCTATGATCTGAGTGGATCCCACCATGCACAACATTTGAAACCAAGTTTCCAAGTGTTTCTATGTCAATAAGTGCCATAAAACTATGGATTATGACGTGTTATCACATAAAATCACTGAATAAGAACGTTTGTGAGTTGCAGCGAGTGATATTTTGGGATTTCTGTGTTGACCGAAAATAAATGAGGATCTATGATCCCACTGGATCTCAAGCAAAAATACTAAACTCGGATCTATTATCCCTATGGATCTCTCGATAAATCAAATAGTTGGATCTATGATCCCGACGGATCGGAGATCAGGATCGGTGGGATCAGATCCAAGATCCATTTTCTCGGATCCATGCACATGTCTGGATTGTTGTGATTACGGTAATCCATATGAAGCCATTATAGTCTGGTTCATATTAAACAATAAGCAATATTCCTACTCAGAAATCACACAAATATATGGAGCAACAGCAAGCTAAGTCCAGCTATATTTCTGTAAGAGGTATCAACCTTTCCTTCGTACAGCGTTGCTGCAGTTCGTTTTTAATCGTTCTTCGGTAATTGGTTGGCGAATCGAGTTCAAGTTGGTAGAGCTTTAGAGTTGGATGTCTGTTCTTTAAATGCACATCTAAATGATACCATTTTTGTGGGGCATAAAGCCTGGGCCATGCAACAGGATTTTCAAATAGCAGGAAAGTTCATCTAAACCGCATTCGTTCAGGGATGCTTAGTGAGCTTCCTAGACAATATAATAAAAGTGAAATACAGACGGTTACCATGGCGTAGGAAACGAGCAACAATGGCATTTTTAGCAACACTGTTAGCTGTAAAAACAATTTTCAAATTTTTCCTGAATTGGAAACTTAAAGTTGCTACTAATATCGCTCGCTGCTACTGGAGTGGCTTCCAGCTCAACATCGCCTGCTTGTCTATTTATATCTTGATATGTCCTGGGCCAGGTCAACCATGTTATAGGGTCCCCGGTCATCCCGTCCCTCACCCAGCTGATGCGGTTGGTGACATTCTTCGAGCCCTTGCTGACCCTGCCCTTCACGGAGCGTGCATAGTCACCGCCCCTGTCACAGCGTGTTCAAAGGTCACTCCTTTGTGCCACGAGAAACGTCGAGCCCGGTCTGGGGGCAGAGTGCACGCTTCGTGACCACGACCATGTCTCACGCATACGACAAAGTGTTTTGTAGCAGCGCCCTTCGTGGTTCCGCAGGGTTACTTTGTTTCTAAGCGCGGGTTTCACGCTTCAGTTACTGGAAACAAATTGGAGGGAAGTCAGCATAAGTGGATAGTGATCTGGGGCAAGGATAGAAATTTTAGCCCAGTAGCTAGTTAGTTATGCGCCTGTAATGAGGCTTTAACTAAATGCCACAATCCGTAAATTATTTGCAGCTGTCAATTATTAGCAATGGCAAGTGAAAAATATTTTTTAGTTAAGAGCCAATCCCAGGCACAAGACTCACTACATACATTGTACCATTGTTCCTCATCATGCATGCTCGCAACTACATAACATGATACAATAACATAGACTTCTCTGGATATATGTAATACAGTACCTAGTCTAAGGCGGTTTATAAACATTTGTGTGTGTTGGAAAGCTTGCAGTAATGGTGACTGGCGTTACTCACCCAAGCAATGATTGTTTTCCCCGTCATTATTATTTTAAGTTTCCTGCGCTGATTTATGCATCCCAAACTTAACTTTAACAGTGCCAGCTCGAGGTACCGTAAATGTTCACTGCAGTCCTGAGCATGGGTCTTGTACTGTGTCAGTATAGTGACGTGAAATGTTGAAAACTGCCGTAATCACTATCATCGACACTAATTGAATCCGTTTTATCCATTATCACCACAATCCCGGGACACAGCTACTGATTCAGCTTGTGACACCAATGTGAGACCACTGAGCAGCCTTGGTGTAACCCGTGTGGCTGCAGTTCGACCTTGTCCCACTTCCCCCAAAGGAGCTCCGCAGCCCCAACTGGGCAATCACGACCCTGCAGAATTATCAATCCCTACCACTGGAGCACATATACGTGAGAAAGCCCACCCAGCGCTGCGAGATCTTATCGCTCGTATTTAGCGGCTTTGGGGAGCCGTTTGCTCTGACGAACACGATCAGTAGGCAGGCGCGATTGGCGAGCCGAGCGAACAGCTCACCCGTATCGTGTTCAGGTCTTGTTAGGAATCCATTCAGTGGCGGCCACGCTATTGTTCTATGTCGCTCTCACACGGCAAAAAGAATTTGTTGCCGCTTTGCTTCAACTACTTGCAGGCGTTCAATTGAGTTTTTTTAGAATTGCAGGGCTTTCATGACGTCAGCGTGGACGATAAAAGATTCAGATTAACGGATTTTCAAGTAATTGTTAAAATACAAGAACATGCAAAATATAGGTACTGACACTTTCATTTGCCAGGGAATAGAAATGTGTTTAATTGTTGAGGTAACTTGTCCCTCCAAGATGCGAGAAATGCATCGTGTCGACATAATAGTGTGCGCCTTTTGAGGTACTATGTAATATGTATATGAGTACACATCTATGTAGTTAGGATTTTAAATGACCTTTTCCTCGATAATTAATTGGAAATTCAATAAAAAGTAAATATTATATTATCTATTTATATTATCTATTTTGTTATATATCTATTTATATTATCTATTTATGCATACTATTTCTTCATGAGTACACATCAGTTAAATAAGTTAAGAATAAATAGAGGAATACATACATGACTTCCAATAAAACCAATGTTAACCTTCGTTAGTTGAAGAAATACCAACGCTGACACAAAAAAAGGAGACTTTAGGAACAGTCTTCCAAAGTATGGAAGAATCAGTTATGACCAGAGTCTTCCATTTCATGGCGTGTCATTTCGCGAACTAGCGACCGGAGTTTAGTACACCTCCTCACCGACAGATGGCAGGACAACTGCGTGAGAATATACCTGAGAAAAACGTAAAAAAGCAAAACAAATATCACGATCATCATTGCAAGCGTACAATAAACCGCCAAGAAGACCACTTTAACGATTTATAGGTTTAAAATGGCGAGTTCGCTAAAATAAGATCCAGCCAACATGCCACGGGCTCGCCCGGTATTCATTGCATGCACTTATCATCGAACATTGCGGGCACATTTTTGAACGGAATGAATCGAAACTCGGTGACAGTAGTCTTCAATGTATCCACCAAGCGGAGCCAGGGAACATTTTTGATAAACCTAATAGTTTCAGAGATATTCAATGATAACCGAGATTCCGTCGCTCCGTCGGCGGCGTTCCCGACGATTTAACATGGGAAAATGAGAATAACTTGCAAAATGTACACGACGATTGCGGGCACAGTTTTAGAGTCTCGCACACCAAAATGGCATCAATATGTTCCAAATTGATCATAGTTTCCTGTACTCGGGAACATCTTTGATAAACGGTCCCGTTCTGCCGCAATCGCCGGTAATGTGACGAATCCGCGCGAAATCCCTATGGCAGCCGGTGCGCCGGAGCGGCCGGCCGCCGGTCGCTAGTTCGCGAAATGACACGCCATGTTCTTCCG